TGCTTTTTAGAAGTCTTTAACTCTACGTTACCTGCAAAGTGTACAGAAGCATTAAATGAATGGAGCAGGTGCATTAAATGCGTCTCAGTCCGTTCCTCTTTTAATATATTTTAAAGGAATACGTTACCATTCGTTGCCCCACTGTGTTTTTGTCACAAATGTGTAAAACAAGTGATTTTCATGTTGAAGTTGCTCATCAGATGAGGGAACGTATGGTATTTTGCCATCAAAATGGGCTTAGATGGGAACGAATTTACGTCCCATCAGTTAGCGCAGTTAACTGTCCCTTGAAATAGTTGACAATACTCTCCTTGTCGGCAGTTAGATTAAATGAGTTAGACACAAACTTTAGATCCGCTTGTGATTGTTCCAAAGAGGATTTCAACTCGGCAGCAGTGATCGCTAAGTTCTTGTTGTCTTGGATTGCCTTGTGATGGTTAACCCAGAGTGCGTCCCTTTCAGCGATAATTTCGAAGTGTTTATCTAGCAATAGAGAGTATGGCTTCAGCAATGATGCCGCCTTGAAAGCATACAGCTCAGCTTTTTGAAGTTCTTCCATCCGGCGTGGGAGATAATCCCAGTTCCAAAAAATGCAGCCGGGGGGCGAGTGACACCTCAGAATTCGGTGGCTACCCCGGTTTCCCACAGAGCACCCCTCCTAAGTCCAGCTGGAAGGGCTGTCGAGATCGAAGTCCCCCGGGGAACGGATACCACGGCACTAGTGTTTCCACCGCCACCGGAGATGGGGGAGGCCGGGTTAGCATTGGACTCCAGGTTTTGAAAGTCATTGGTGAGATCCAGTATTGATATGCCGGGATTGGATGTTGGGTCAGAGGTTGTGGCTGCAGAAGGGCTAGCCGTCCTTTGTCTTTTGGAAGTTGGAGGGAGTTGGGCAGCAGACGGACCTTTCAAGGACAATATGTAGTCTGGCTCCTCCTCTTCCATGTCGAAATTCATGCTGGAACCTGAAAGTAAATAAGCAGGGTCAAAATAATGAAAACGAAATGTCAAATGCATCAAAGAAAAAATGACATGGGCATACTAGTTCGATCCAAGCCGGATTGTGATCTAGCTACTAGAGAGGCTACACTCAGGTGACCTTTGGAGCCCACATGGTCCAGTAAAGCCTTAACATTAACCTTGTCTTCCTTTGACAACCTCATCTTGAAGTCAGCCGATTTACGGAGATGATGCTCTTGAGACCAATACAGGGGAAATTTTCCTTCTTCATCATCACCAACAAACCACGGTTTCTCGCCGACTTCGGCTATCACTTTGAAAGAATCACTATACACGGAAAATAACTTCCTAGAAGGTTTACTGGCACGACCTCGAATGCTAGTCCACCCCTTGAACTTTGGAGGCTTTGAACCAGTGCGAGGGGTATAGATGTTAAAGAAATAGAGAAAAGAGGGAATTGTGCAAGGCAGAGACAGAGATGCACACAATTGCTCAAAGGCAACAATGTAGGCCCAACCATTGGGATGGATTTGGGTTGGTGTGAGAAAAAGATAGTTCAAGAGCTGTATCTTGAACGGGAGAAAAGGCAAACTAAATTTCATTTATGTTACTAGGTCACGACAGAAGAAGAAAGAATGTGGTTTTTCAGGATTCCGGCCTGAGCAAATAGGCTCATCATCTGCAGGGGTAAAGGTGCTGAACCCAATTGGGTTTCCTATTGGAAGCCCGGATACCTCTTCAGTGGTCATATTGTACCTAAAACTCAAAACCTCTTCTGTAACCCATGGAAATCGCTTTTGGAGATCGCTGCTAACAGGGGTAGACCCTTTTTCGGCTGGGCTCACCTCAGCTTCGTTTCCTTGGCTGGAAGAAGCAATCTCCACATTTAACTCTACAGAAGGGGACTCCATAAATACCTAGAACAACAAAGTGGGAGGATTAAAAAGCAGGAAAAGTACGTAGCAAAGAAGATACGTACCTGAACTAAACAAACTATTATGAAAAGAGCTTGACGAGTCATCTGATTCAACCAAAGAGGTAGGGGTAGATGAGCCGAGATGGTGTGAACAACTGCCTAATACTAAGTCGGCCATGAAATCATTCCCCTTCTCAACAAATTGAGCACTAAGGTAAACACAATTGAAGCAAGGCTCTAAACTCTTGTTATTTCAGTAAATTGACATGTTTTGATGAGAAGTGGAAGGAGGAGCAGGGTTATAAGTTGGAGTGGGGGTCGAACGTGAAGGAAAGGAGGTTGGACCCAGATTATGAACAAGACGTCTTGGTAAAATCCCTAAGTTACGGCGGAGACCTCGGTTTCGCCCTCGGATTGAGGGGCGGGATGAGGATGCCACCTGCTTCCACCGCCTCAATAACCTCCTAATAAGGCGGCTTGAGTCTCCTCCTCGGTTCGAGGTCTACCAAACAACCAGAACCTCGGACCAGGAGGCAGGTTTCGGATAAACCTTTCCTCTTCCTCTACATACCTTTTTTCTTCCTTGGCAGCAAATTCATCGCTACGACCAAAGACGCGAGGGCAAGTAGGTCTCCCTCGAATAGTGATGTTCCTCTCATCCATATCAGAAGAAATTTTCAAGCTAAGATATGGTGGAAGATAAATAAATAGCAAGGAGGTTTCACATAAATAATGAAGTGTAAATGAATGAAGAATAATCAGATGGCATACTAAAGGTGCAAGTGTAATAGTACCAAACTCATCATGACAGAATAGCACACGCGACAAGTTTAAAGCATATCAAGAAATATCAAGCAGGAAATAGCATTGGAAGAAAGTAAGCAAGCAGAAGCAGAAATCAAGAGAATGCCAGTAGACGCACCTGAAGAAGTGAAGCCTGGAGAAATGATAAAGATGGTGAGTGAAAGGGAACTTGCTTCGATGAGAATAATGCAAAAATGGGAAAATGAGAATCAAATATCGAAGTTGCTGGGAAAACTGAAGTTGAATAGGTAAAGACCCGCGAAGCCAAAAGGGCAAGGGCATGAAAGTAATTTGATAGTAGACAAGACAGTTGAAGGACATTTTTTTAGTAGGAATTAAGGTAAAACGGCGTGGAAGGAGTAGTGGCACATGTCGCATTTGTTGAGGAGGCCCACGTGGAAAGTAATCATCATTACGTGGGAGGAGAATCGTTTCTCAGAAATTACGTCGAAGGATAATCGTTTCTCAGGAAGAAGGAATTGTTTCTCGAAAGAGGAAGCCTTACTGCACGCCTCAGGTGGTGCATCTCGGATAGAGCTTATATCTGGGGTAACCCGAGGAACCCCGTCCATCTCCTCAAGTCAAACCGAAAGCTTAAATTAAAGCAGAGGTAGTGGCAAGGCCGGGATAGGCCCATATCCGGAGTAAAGCATGTACGTCGGAGAATATAACTCGGACATCCTAGCACCCTGAGTACTCAGTCTACCGGGCTGGGGGAAAACTGTTATGGACCTGAGTGAGGCCAATATTCATAGAAGGCCCAAATGATACAAGCCCAAAGGTAAGCACTATAAATAGGAGCTGAAGACCACATATATGACTGATCTCTTTCAACCCTATTTTATGCAATCACACAGCGCACACACACCGCCCCTTTGGCTAAGGCCGTCGCTTAGTGTGTAGTGATTCGCTGCCCCTAAGATGCCTAATTCATAGGTATCTAGAGAGAAAGCACTAAATCCAATATCAACTATCTAACCTCCGGTTGGACATCTCTGCCTCAAGCAGAACAGATCCAAAATCAATCCACTAGTCTCTTGACTAGACATCTCTGTCCTTAGGACACAAAAGAAGACTAATTGATTTTGGATGTAGTCAAGAGACTACTGGATTAATTTTGGATCTAGATGCTCTTTCAAATATCTATAGATTAGATATATTTGAGTGTAGTAGATCACTGTGCACAAATAATAACGGCTTTAGCCAAAGGGGTTATGTGTGTGTACTGTGGCAGCATAACAGTAAAGATAGAGTAAGTGTCCATACCTGTAGGCTTTACCTTTTATTTATAGGATTTACTTGTGCGTATTGAAATTCTGGATCTTTGGTGCCTCCTTTGAAAGCCCATGTCCAGGTTCATTGTTGTTGTACTAAAATTAATATATAAGGTTGATATTTTCCTTATATTGTATTAGTTTTCTCTTTTTATTGTTCATTATTAGGCTTTACATGTTGTGAGCCTCTTATATGGGTCCATAACAGGTTGTTTCATCGAATACACCATAATTAATGAAACTTTTCACACAACTTGTTTATAATTAACACATTGATTGCATTCATAGCTTTAATGGACTTTGCTTTAAATTTATTTATTTAAACATATCCTATTTATTTTAAACTTTAAAATAAAGAATTTCAAATCATACTATTATATGAAGAATATGACCAAATCGTTATACTTATAATTATTTTCTTGTTGAATCACAATTAAATCAACGGTTACAAATAACATCAAGTAAAAATTATTAATTTGATTTTAATCTAACAATAATAAAGTGGTATTAAAAAATTATAAGGAAAAAAATGTAACTATAAACTTCCTTGGTAATTGGATTTAATGTTTCTATAATTTATCTAGATTCAATCTCAAAACGATATCGTTTTGGGTTATAAAATTATAATGAGAAAAATTATTATAATTCTGAAATAAATTTAATTACAAATTACCTTGATATCCGTCTCAAAACAATGTCATTTTGCACTTAAATAACTTATCTACATCCACACAGCAGAACAAACGAACCTTAGTAATTATTATATTGGTATACCTATTATAATGAATAATAATTCTATTAAAAAATATCATTTAATTCACGAAGACAACCTAAATGGAAGTTGTTTGCCTTAGTCAGGTTGTCACCATTACGTAACACACAGCATCATCACCACCTAAAGCAGCCAACGAATTTTAAAATGCCCCCAAACTTGAATCCAATTGGTTAGTACGAATTTGCCAGCACACAATCATCATAAGACTATAAATATAGCCACCCTTGCCCATGTTCCGAGACAAGAACACTAATTCACAATTGAATTTGAATATTACCATTCACAAACAAACACACAGAGAAACAAGAGAAATGGCAGCAATGGCATCGCCGGTGATTAAAGTGGCAGCACTTTCTGGTTCCCTTCGAAAAGGCTCTTACAACACAAGCCTCATCCGTTCTGGTTCATACAACACACTCTCAATCTCTCTATTTTTCTTTTTTCTTTTTTGTTTTTGTTTTGGTCTTTGACTTTTATGCGTTTGCTATGTAGCTATTGAGCTAAGTAAAGGAGCTATTGAAGGCATTCAAATTGAACACGTTCAGATTTCGACTCTACCGTTGTTAAACACTGATCTTGAGAAGAACGGGACTTACCCACCTGAAATTGAAGCCTTTCGCCAAAAGATTCTTGGTGCTGATAGCATTCTCTTTGCTTCCCCTGAATATAATTATTCTGTCGCAGGTACTAACCTTTAACATTTTGTGGGGTCCCGTCTTTTTTTTGTCTTTTGCTTTTTTTGGTAGAAACATGTAAATAAGAGTAAATAAAAGGGAGGATATTTTGATTATCAAAAGTGTCAACTACCACCTTACTACCTATCAAATCACCATTGGATCAAAGAGAGAGAATGTTAAAAAGTTTTTGAAGAGAGAAAAAATGTTAATCCAATGGTGATTAGATAGGTAGTAAGGTGGTAGTGGAAATTTTTGGTAGTCAAAATATCATCCCTCTGTGAATAATTAGCCTATGTTGAAACCTTTGAGAACAACTTGTGGGGCCAATCAAAGTGTTCTGTTTCTTAATTTCTTTTAGAAAATCAGTTTGTCAATGTTATAAAAACGAGTTGTTGGTCCTGCAATCATGTTTTAATTATGTATTCATGGAGTATAAAATTAAAATAAGACTAAATACTCTTTTTGGTCCTCAGCAAAATTTACGATTCCCGTTTTAGTCTCTAATAAATAAAAAAGTCCATTGTGGACCCTAAAAAATTCAAAATGGATCTATTTTAGTTCTTTTAGGGACTAATATGGATTTTTTTTGAATTTGTGAGGGACCATAATTTCAACTAAATTGGTCCATTTTGAATTTCTTAGAGACCATGATGGGCCTTTTGATTTGCTAGGGACTAAAACAGGTCTCGTAAAATTTGCTGAGGACTAAAAAGAATATTTACTCTTAAAATATTAAAGTTGTTGACAGACAAAGAGGAGAGATAAAAGAAATAATTTTAAATTTTAATTATATATTTCCAAAAATACATAATTAAAAATCGTTGCAGTATGTCATGTAAGAAAACATGCTATGCACCCTTTTTTTACTTTATTCCTTCCATTTAAAGGAAAAGTTATAGCATGAAACGGCAGAACAAAGACTCAGTTGAACTCCTCTTCTTTTTTGTGTTGGATGGGGAAAAGATAATATAATGAATAGAGCTTAGTTTGTTTAAATGATTTGAGGATAGGGGCTAAAGTCTATTGTGTGCAGTTTTACCTTGTATTCTTTGAAGAGAGTCTATTTTCTATCCTCAAATATGTGAACTTTCGGTCACAAACGTGCAACCTTGCTTACAAATACTCCTAGTCTTACCTACCATTGTATTGATTAGTATACTTAATCTAAATGTATTCAAGGTTACTTCTCTTAGCAAATATGGTTTTTTAGTGTGTAGCATCTCTGGTTTCTGAAAAAAATTCTGAAAGTAGTTATTCCTAAGCTCTTATTGTGAATGTCTGTCTCATAGAAATCTATTTTATGCAATGATGATGCCTTCTTTTGCCCTCATTTATATCCCCTTGCATCTGCTTACATTTGTGTGTATAACTAATTCTTACCAAGAATTCCTTTTTTATAATTTCTAAAGATAATTTATGTTGAGTTTCTAAGTTCCTAAATTGTCAATTTTCTTTATACAAATGCATGGCTTTTGTCCAAAACCAAACTTTTTGAAGTCACATAAGGTTGGTTGTTCATTTCTGCGTTGATTTAGCTTCTAACAGTGTAGCCTAAAACGCAATGTCGATCTTACATGTGCCCGATATCTTTCTTGGCAATGCTTCTCTTTCCCATTTGTTTTTATTTCTTCCACACATCAATTGTACACACTCTTCTCCTTTCTAATTTTCTCAAGTTGTTATAATTGTACACACTTTTTATGCATTGCTTTATTGCACCAAGTGTACAATGATTAGAATATAGTTTTACATAATATCCATAGATGTCAATACTTTATAGTACGTGTCTAAGCTTCTTTTTGCTAAAGTTCTTTCTTTTGATATGTTGAAGCTCCACTAAAGAATGCAATTGACTGGGCGTCTAGAGCACCAAATGTTTGGGCTGGTAAACCTGCTGCTATATTAAGTGCTGGAGGAGGCTTTGGTGGTGGAAGATCACAATATCATCTCCGCCAAATTGGAGTTTTCCTTGATCTTCATTTCATCAACAAACCTGAGTTCTTCCTAAATGCATTCCAGCCTCCTTCAAAGTTTAACAGTGATGGTGACTTGATTGATGAAGAAACCAAGAATAGGTTGAAGGAAGTTCTTCTGTCCTTGAAGACATTTACCTTGCAGCTTCAAGGAAAAAATTGAAACAACTTTGATTCCCATTAATTGTTGAAATAAGCTTTGGATTTCAGTCCCTTCCTTTTACAAATATTGTTGTGTGATCTGGACTTCCATGACAGCATGACAACTGTGATATGCAGTTGCAAAACGTTTTTGTTCTTTACTTAGATTTGTATATTGCCTTGTTTTGGTTTCAAGTTTGCTATTGGATTTGAGTTCAATCTACAATGTTTATGTTCAAGGTTGTTGAAGTTCCATCCTATATTAAATAATCTTATCACATTATTTACATTGGTGTCACATAGGTGCTTGTCTTTGTCAATTCACATGAAAGTTATTCAAAGACACATTTGTGATTAGTGTTTCTAATTGAAGCAAACATTGAAAAATGCCATATTAGCAACTCTTTACAGATACCAAAAGTCACATCTATTCGTGCACCATCTAAACTCAAGCAAGCAATGTACTCATTGGAGGTCAACTTGTGGTTACAGAGCTCATCACTCCCTTGAAGTTATGGATTATACCATACATACCCACGGTTGATGAGGTGAAATCAAAAGCAGCAATTAGACGAAATAAGTTCATGCCAATCAAGAAATTCATAGAGAAGCACGGTAAAGAACCATTTTGATGCCGAAAGCGTATAGAAAAGTGACTGATCAGACCAAATACAATATGGGCTGGCCAATATGTATCAAGCCTAATCACACACGGTTGAGATGTGGATATTCTTCTTGGACTTGGGCGTGGAGTTGAATTTGGATACCACTATGTCTCTGTCCTTTGCTAGCGCGATGAATCCGAATGGGGGAGTACCTGCGAAGACATTTCGATGCTTAAGTCAGTATCAGAGGCATGAGTATATATGTTCTTAATGTAAAGGATGATCGTACCTGAGTGTTGTACCCTCTGCTTATATAGTGGTTACAATGCCGCCTTAGTAAGGCGGTATGGCCTCTGAATGGCCAGGTTTGGACTACAGGTCAGGCTAGAACCTGAGTAGCCTTATCTTCTTAATGTCAAGCTATAGAGTCGCGGCGAGCTGGTGCTGTCTTCTGTCTATTAGTTCAAAGGCGCGGTGATCTTGCCTTGGTTCTTAAGTTATCTTCCTTTTTCCCGGAGTTTATGCCAAAGGGCGGTTTCATGCGCGATGGGGGGTATCGCGTCTTTCTATGTGCGCGATGATGATCATTAGCGCTTAGTTATGGACCCTTCATGAGATTGGGCTTCCTCGTTCGTTATTGGGCCTCTGTTGGGCCTACTATATTTTATCTGAATCAGTTGCCCCCTAGCTTGCAGTTTTGACAAGTGGCAAAGTTGTGAGGTATGTATGTGTTGTTCTTTGCGCGATGTACTCATCTCGTATGTCTCTCTGCTTGCCACGATAGTCGATTTAGAGTGTCATCATGATTTTAACCGCTTAAGAATGGTGGATTAGACGTTTAACTGTCAGAAGCATTAAATGCTATTGTCATTACGTGGGTGTTTAAGGGTAAGTGTGGGTAGTTTTGAAGTGCAAACATTTCCCCTTCTCTCCACGTGTCCCTGTGAAACCGTTTTACTCAACACTTTTTGTGGCCTTCGGACTATCCGTTTGGTAAAACTTTTCATACTCGTACCAATCTTATTTGGTTTGGAGGGAAAGTATTCCATTGAGATCGTGAGAAAATCTTCTGTTTGCTAGTGCTTGCTGATATCTTCTGCATTTTCGGTGTTGACACATCCAGCTCGTGGTTGATAATCTGAAGTATAAATCTCAGGTATGTTCTTCATCCTGCTTTATTACCTTATCTATTTCGTTTTTCAAGTTTGGGATATGTCTGATAATCGCAAATTTGTGCATTTTATCAGATTAACCGAACGGTCTGGCTCGTCCAGTCCTCCCTCTAAATCACTACCTAGATCAAAGTCATTTGGAACTAGGGAAGTGTGGCTCACTGACAAGTGTGCCACTCCTTGTTCCAACATTTTTTTAAATGATAGTCATTTTCCTTCGAAACGGTTTGAGCTTGGTTCATCTTCGCGACCCTTGAATCGCGGAAACGTAGAAACTCTTTCTCAACAGAGTTCATCGTTGTTCCCAAAGATTTCCTTTAAAATGACTGGTCCTATTTTGATTTCAAGTGATTCCTCTTCAAGTTCTGAATGTAGTGATAGGCCTATAGATACAGTAAACCCTAAATCATCCTCTACAAATACTTTGCACGATACTTCATCTCCCATCGAGCAAGATTATTGCGGTCGAAAGAGTCCAAGTCCCTTACCGTTAAATGTAATATATCCGGCAGGGTATCCTTTTAAGAAAATGAATTTTGATAATTATAAATCTGCATTTGTTGTCTCTGCTTCCTCTGATTCGTCTTCATCTACTGATTCTTCTTCTTCTAAATCATATTTTGTGTCTCCCCAAATCAAGGAAATAATGGCAAGACGCGATGCACATGAGAAGAAGAAGCAAAAGTTGCCTTCTGACTCCAAGAAGAAAATCTTATACATTGATCCTGAGGGAGAGTCCCAATCAAACGTAATCTTCGGGATGAAGAGTCCTTAAAGTAGGTAACAGACACGGTTCTGGATACCTCTTCCATATATTGCTCAACATAAGAATTAGCGCAGTTAAAAGCTGCCATCCACCTTACTCCTGACAAAGCTTTTGATGATCAGTGGGTGATTGATGTCGTTCCGAAGAACGAGCGCGTTTGTTCATCGCTTTTCTGTGAGTTAATTAAGGAAGTTAATTAATTAATTATGTGAAATTAGGAAATAATTCCATAATTGACCCTAATAATTATTATGAGGCTTAAATAATTATAGTAAGTGAATAATAATGTTGAAAGTCGCTTTTCTGATGAAAAGTGCAGATACTGGTTCTGCTACTCGGTATAAATGCGTACCGATGAAGCATCCCGAAAAATTATAATAAGTGTATGAATATTCTTAGAATAATATGTAGGACTTGTAAAACAAGTTTCAAGTCCAAATAATGAGAACTGGTGCCAGAACTGATACTGGCTATGGAAAAGCGCATACGCGAAAGGTGCTGCGAAAAATAAAATAAAAATATGATAAATCTTAGAAAAATGAGTAGGTTCAGATTCCAAAGTTTGCGATTAAATTTCTAAGCGTAGCAATTAGCGCTAATACAGTGCGATTAAGTTTAAACCGGCGATAAATATGACTTTTGCACAAAACCCTAGGCATTCTATTGTTGCTCTACATGAGTGGTGGCTGACCAGCTCCTCCCTCCACTGTTCCATTGCTTCTTCATCCATTTTGTGAGCTTTGGGACCTCTTTTCTTCCATTTCTCTTCACTAAATACCTTGTGTGTGAGAGAAGGATCATTGTAAGGGTGAAAAGGGGCTGTGTTCTGGTTGTTCAGGCTCTGTTTTTGGTTGTTGAGGGGCTAACCTTTGTTGTTTGGGTTGTGGGAGCTTGGTGATGGAATTTTGAGGTCTAAGGAGTGACCTTTGTGAAGAAAGAACCAACCTTGGGTGTGCCACTTTCGTGTTGTGGTGAAGTCAGTACCTTGGAGGCTGATTGGTGAGCTCCATGAGCTATTGTTGCTCTGTTTGAACCTTGGGTAAGTGTCACCTACCTTGATCATGATTTTTATTGATTAAAAGTGGAACCTTGATGCATGTAATGAATTAAAGTTAATAAATTGTGGTTGGGTAAGCTTGAACACACCTTAAAATGCATGTTTAAGCCTCTAGAATCGTGAAATGAACCACCTTTGGATTGATATCTCGCGAAATGTAGAATCTGAGTGCTACCGCGAAATATCCGGATATTGGGTTAGGAATATCCGGATATTGATATCCGGATATGGATATCTGGATAGTGATATCCGGATATGGGGTTCTGAATATCTGGATATTGATATCCGAATATTGCCAGAGAGATATCCGGATATTGATATCCGGATATGCCCCCGAAAAATATCCGGATATTCTGAGTTTTCGAGAACAGTAACGGTACTATTCATACAGAACTGTGTTATGGGTTTGTGGACCCTAGTTTGATGAAGTGGGACTTCTGAAATAATTAAACTAAGTCAGAATCAAGTGATTAAGGGTTTGTGGCTTTGTGAGAAGCCTTAAGACATGAAACGTAAAGGAAAGACGTTGTCTTTATGTCATATGCTTGTATGTTTGAATATTGATATGATTGCTGGTCTAAAACATATTGTGATTCTGCTGTGTTTGGGCTTTGAGTTTGGTTGGACTCATGGTTTGGATTGTTAGCTTGCAAGGTAAGTTTTTGTGTCCTCGGTTTAGCCATTGTTGGTTCCACCATGTCCCATGGGAGGATGGTTATATGCATGATGTTGTTTTCATGATATACTGATTTGTTGAAATGCTATTGAGCTGTTATATGCGAGTGCCTTTATGATATGCATGTGGTGTTCGCCTAGACGGGTTGTGATCATGTGGGCAGGTACGGCATGGGCGCGTACTGTGTGGGTAATAGACGTATTCCTGTACTTCTCTGGCCAGTAGAATAGCGATAACACACATGGCATGGTTATCTGTTGCACTGCATTGAGTTTTGGAACTTATGTTGTTAAACTGTTTTTACTACTTATTGCACATGTAAGTGAGCTTGGGGTGGAAGATCTTTGAGGATCCCTTGTCTTACTGAGATTTCTGTTTAGAGATCTCACCCCACGTTTGGGGCACCATTTCAGGTTCAGGTAATGCGGGCGTTGAGACCTCTAGCGGCAGGAGGCCGGAGCTTAGCAGATATTGCTGTTTTTATGCTGACATGTTTGGATGCTGGATTTATCTGCTGATGATTTGCTATTAGCTTATTATCATTATATTGCTGTTGTTGAGACTCTGTTGATTATGTTGTCTTATTTGGTGAGCATGGGGATTGTCCATGCCACATTGATTGACTATGTCTTAGTTTAGATGCGAGTTATAATAAGCTATCAGAATTATTGTCCGGACTACGTGTTGTAGATCCGTGACTCTAGATACTCACAGTTTTATATATTTTGAGGTATTTCAGTTAGTTGTTTAATTGCAATTACATACAAGCGATGTTTTATGAAATTGATTAAGTAATCAACTTGGCTAAGAATAATGACGTCATAATTGAAAGTAAAAAGTTATTCCGCATTTTTTTATTAAGCGTGGCTTAATATGAT